GAGCTGAGGAGCAGAGTGCTGAGTCTGCGGTGAGTAAGGCAGATGCAGTTTACAGAATAGTCCCAGAGAGGACATGGCAGCGAGAATTGAGAACCCAGAAACCTTCAGAGGCCCCCTGGTATAATCAGTGGTCAGCCAGTCAGCATCTGCATTGAAACTAGGAGGAACTGTATGATGGCATTAGCTAGAGCAGCATTTGGAGCTCACACAAATACCTGTTTTTACCAGTCTAATCAGAAAACTATACAACTTCTGAGCTTTGCACAGAATACTCAAAGGGCCTCAGTTGTGGGCAATAATTGGATTCAGTTAAGATGAAACATACTGCACAGCAAATCAGGAGAAACTGCTTCTGCATTACTGAATTCAAAAACAAATTTCAGGTATATTTGTAGCAATACATCAATATCAAGCAGCAAACAAATTGAAATTGACAATGTCTGTATTAATTTCAAGACTAACTGGTAAGTAGAGAAGCAAAAAAAAGAAGAAACTTTATAAGCTAAAAATTAGTTCATCATAACTTTCCCAAAACATCTGCTACTGCAAAACAATGATTTTCATAGTATCATAAACTATATCTCAATAAAGAAATGAATAAATAAAAATGTAAACAGTAAATAAAAATAATGTCTCTAAAATGGATGACACAGATATTAGAATTGACAGTTAATAAAACAGATAGAATATTACTATATTTAATAATTTCAAGCAATATCAAGTGTATTTTGTGTCAGTAGTATTATAGATCAATAACAAAATGATTTCTAGAAAGCTCCAAAACTTTGGAAACTGAATAGCAGTTTTATATTGCCCATGGGCAAAAGCAAAAAGTCAAAAGAACAATTTGAAAGTACATTGAACCAAATTTAATATTTAAAGGTAAAATAAAATCTTTGAAAATTGCACTATTTGGGGGAATTCTGTAGAACCACCTTGTAATATTAGAGAAAAAAGAACTCAGATTAGTGACTACTTCCTTTCACCTTGAGAAACTAGAAAAAGAAGTGCAAACAAAGCTGGAACAATAGTGCATCAAGTAAGGTGCTTGCCTTGCATGCTGCTGACATGAGTTTGATCCCCATCTTCCCATATGGTTCCCTGTGCCTTCCGAGCAGAGCCAAGAGTAAGCCCTGACCACTGCCAGGTGTCACCTGAAAAAGAAAAAGTGCAGACATTAAACCTCAAGTAAGCTTAAGAAAACACAGGCAAGAGCAGAACTCATTAAAAGAATAGAAAAAAAATTAAGAAAATGGAAGCCACACACTACAACTACATATTTACCATTTACAACACATATAAAGAATACCCAATATAATAAATAAAATAATAATGCAGTTATCAGATATTCATCAAGAATATCTTCAGATATACCTTAGGAACATGAAAAGATGCTTCACTCTTTGTTCATTATAGATAAGTAAATTTTAAAAAATGAAACAATACATGTTTGAAACATCAATATATCTGCCTAAATGGGAAAAGTAAAGTTTTTAAATGGCAGTATGGAGAATTGCCAAGATGTGGAAAAACTAAAACTTTAAACCTATGATTCTGTAAGTCTAGTCATTCTACTACTAGATGTTAACCCCCCAAAAAATTAAAGCATACACATATATAAAACTTGCATCACATACAGTATTCGAAACAGTTTGTAATTGTTTCAAACTAGAAACAATGAAATTCTAAATTTCACCCACTAAAGATTGATTTGAATGAATGAATCCATACAGTGAATTACTACTCAGAAATCAAAAGAATATTGGTGTGTGTAACAACACATGAATCTCAAAATAATTACATTAAGTAAAAGAAACTAGACCAAAATATAGTGCATAATGTATTCTTCCATTTCTATAAAATACTATCACTGTAGCACTGTCCTCCCGTTGTTCATAGATTTTGCTCGAGCGGGCACCAGTAACATCTCCATTGTGAGACTTGTTGTTACTGTTTTTGGCATATCAAAAATGTCACAGGGAGCTTTCCAGGCTCTACTGTGCAGGCAGGATATTCTCAGTAGCTTGCCAGTCTCTCCGAGAGGGATGGGGGAATCGAACCCAGGTCGGCCATGTGCAAGGCAAACACCCTACCCACTGTGCCATTGCTCCAGCCCTATAAAATACTAGAAGACACAAATGAATTGTATTGATAAAATATTAGTGTTTTTCTAGATGTAGAGATGAGGAAGAGATAAAAAGAGAAATGGGGATACTCCTTGTAGTATCCCCGTTTGGAGTGAAGGATGTTCATTACATTGATGGTCACAGTGATTCCTTGGATATAAACATATACATAATATATCAACTGTAATCCTTTAAATATATGTATCTTTATCCTATCAAATAATTTGTTAAAATATCAACTTCAAATGTGATTTTTAAATACTTCACCTTCAATACCTCACCTTCATCTAGATACACCATCCATCCATAAAGTCACTTATCCACTCTCGTCATCTCTCTACCTCACTCCCTACCCTGGGGCATGATGGTCAAGGTTAACCATACTGCCAGATTTGTTGAAGAGCATCCCTATATTCTGTAGATTTTCAAGGATCAGAAACATGGGATAAATATGTCATTAGTATCATGTTAGTTGCATTTTTAAAATAGTAATTCTGGTGTTTTTCTTCAGTCTGTGGGCATATTTTCTCTGACTTCTATTTTCTTGACTTGAATATTCTGTAGTGAATTTATCTTGTTTGTTTCTTTGGGGACCATACATGGCAGTGCTCAGGGCTTGTTCATGACTCTGTGCTCAGAGACCACTCTTGTAGGAGCTCAGGGGACCATATGGGAGCCAGGAATTGAACCCATTTTAGCCACATGCATGGCAAGTGCCCTACTCACTGTGCTATTACTCTGGCCCCGTCTTAACATTTTTTTATCAGATGAACAACATGAACCATTGCTTTAATGTTATAGAGGTTTCTTGCCTCTAATAGTGCCTCACGTTTGAAGAAAACATATTAACCTGTTGATGCCAAGAGTGCAATTGTGTTAATTAAACCACATTCAAGTGTGATCCACTGGTGGTTCATGTTGGCATGTACATGTCAAACTTATTTGAAAGTATTATATGTTCACATACATGTTCATATACATTTCCCACCTTCCCTCTGCTTCTCTGAGCAGTGCTTGATGTTGTTCTCCCCACCAATGTTACTTCCTCTCTGCCATCTAAGTCAACGTGCTCCAGACCCTCTCTTGTCACCACCCACAGTTTCTAGACGCCTTTTCTCTATCCAAATCTGTATAGGGAAACACTTGACTTCTCTTCTTCCAAATATGTTTTGTCCCTGCCTAATCCTCTCACCACCTCCTGGTTACTGATGACCCCAAATTCTTTATCCATATCTGTTCTGTGCATCCCTTCTGTCTTGGAATCCCTCCTGGGAATTCAGTGTGTACTCAACAGGCTTAAACTCAGTTGGCTTCCAATGAAGTCCTTCAGTGTCAACCCCATCCCTGAACCAGGCCTCATTACTATCCTGTTCTTAAAGGCCTCATTACTATCCTGTTCTTAAAGGTGGTTGAAATATAGGGGAAGCTGATGGAGCTGGAGCACTGGAAACTGGTATGTTAGACAAGTAGAGAGACAGGTCAGAAGCTGTTTGCTCAGACGGCTCAGTGGAAATTGCTACTTACTTATATGATCTTGAGTATGGTATACTGGATTCTCATCTTCATATTGGAGGTGATAACTACAGTAATGATAATGGCAATAATGCAGTACACATTTGATTGAGCTGAAGTTGTAATGCAATAAATCATGCAATACCTTGCTTCCTCTTCAAGCCTGAGTTCCACCTTGAATGTGTTTTGTTTTTATGTCTTTGCTTGTCTTTATGTTCTTTTGCTTGCTTTTTCAACTCTAGAGAAGCCTGTGTTCTCTCTTTAACACGTGCTTTCTCTCTCTCTCTCTCTCCCCTCACATCGTTCTAAGTCTCAAAAAATCTATCTTTCTTCACATACATACATACAAGGAGAGAGAGATAATGCTTGCAATTGTATGATTTTGGCACATATTATGTTTAAAAAACATTCATGTTTTTAAAAAAATCTGTGAATAATTATGTCTAATCACAAATCTGCTCAGTTTAGAGTATGTTGAACTCAGTGAAACTAGAGTAGTAAATCCAGTGTTATTTTCAAGTCTTCCTCATTAATTAATTTATTCTTTTATTAAGGAATAATTCACTTGCTCTTTAAAATGCTGTTTAAAGTTTGCCATTAGAGGCACTGATATATCTCCTTCCAAATTCTGCAAATCAAATATTTTGCAGTTGAGCTTTCACAGGAGGATGAAAGGCTAAACTGTGTGTTGAAGTTTGTGCTTTCTCATCAAATAAATAAGGAACCTGGGTATTTTCATTCATTCACTCATTACATAAACATTCAGCACATGGTGAGTTCGTACCCAGAGAAAGAGTGGAGAGTTCAACGTGTTCCCTTTCGCAAGGAACTCCCACTGCAACCCTAAGAGAAACACAGATGTTGGACACCAATACAGGCTTGGGTTGCCAACAACATAAGGCAGCAGTGATTGGATTGGCTACTTGACATGAGCAGAAGATACTTTCATGGGGAGAGTATGATTACCTATTACTGAAGAAAGAATAGTGTTTTTCCAAAATTAAAGGGATAACCACCCCCCAAAAAAGAACCATCTCCAGAGACAGGACCAGAGGAAGGAAAACTACTGGAAGTTCAGATGGTATCTGGCAGCCCTGGGATAGCTGCAAATGTAACACAGTCCATCAGATCCGTCATCTCTCTCCTGAATGTTGTGGCATGGCACTGAAATCTGTAAGACATACTTGTGCTTCTGTGTGTTCCTTTTTGACCTCTAAGGATTATGGGTGTCAGTGCATGTGAAAAATTGGTGTGTTGGAAAGTAATAATGCAAGGATGGATAAGCCCATAGCTCCTTAGCATTCAAATACACATGTGCTTGCTTATATCACATCCTGAGTAACTGAGACTGTCTTCATGCAGGTGCCTTTGCTCGTGTGATTCAGACCGAAGATCAGATGTGGCAGAAACCCACCATCACCGCTCAAGAATACTATATTCAAGAGTCATAAAAATTTTGTGTGCTCTCTTGTCTATAGGCCAAAACTTGAGGTGTTGATTATCAGTCCTATATATTGCAAAGGTGGAGAAGTCTATGTTTCTCCGCTACACAGTTTGTGTGCCAAGTAAATGCATTTTGCCTCTGAATATTTTAAGTTGCCAATAACCAATTCTTGTTGGCAGGTTAACGGTATATAAATGCTGGTACCCAACACTACCAAATAATTATATTAATGGGCAATGTGGAAAAAGTCATGCCTTATATCAGTTTGGAACCTTTAAGACTTTGACCACATTTGAATGATTAAAACCATCTAGTTATTTAAAATCTTAAATTCTAGGGGAAATACATCAATCAATGGAAATAATCAGACTATCATCATGCTGCATGGTACTATATGTATATATGTATACATATATATATATATCTTGATAGTAAGAAAAAAGTGGAGGCATCTTCAAAGGTGATTTTGTTGAGTGAAACTATTGGATTGTTTATTCCTCAAAAATGTGGTATTAAAGCTTCACAGAGGGTCACTGATCATAATCTGATCGACTATATTTTTTAAATCAACTGTGTTCATCCAAATAAAAATCACATGACATATGGGCAGAGGCATGTTTATTAAGTCTCTAAATACCGTGATGATTGGTATCAGAATGACAGTGGAATCCATGTCACTGCCCTCCAAACTCTACAGCTCTTCCCAGCGGCTGTGAAGTAGAGCAGATTTCTCCAAGGAAAGCCACGTATTGAGCCCTTGACTTCCCTAGGAGCCTTGACAGTCGTGCCTGGCCAGAGGGGGATGGGGAGTAAGGCAGGGCAGGAGTCTGTGTCACCAAGATTGGATCAACTTGTGCTAATATTTCACAACTGGGTTTCATTCTTTATGCTTTTGCCCAACAGATGCTTTTGCCCACAAAGTTCCCTGTGTCCTATGGCAGATCTCTCATAATATTCAGCCACTAGTATTTATAATAATGTTTAAAGAATAATTTATCACATCTAGATCTAAAACATTTTGTTATACTGAAATAAGAGCTCTTTAGGAGATTAATAGGAATCAAGAGGAATTCATGAAATCAAGTTTCAATCTTAAGGAAACAACAAACTTGGTGAGATCACTTGACTGTTTCAAAAACTATTTCTGATCAAATAGAATGGAAACTTGGCTCCTTGTTGTCTGATTAAAGGCATTACCTTTCTCAGTATGGCAGGAGCATCTAGCCAAGCATCTTGCTCCAAGTCTCACTGTATCTACTGTTTGTCTTTCGTGCCACAAATAAAGGAAAATGAAATGGTCGCCTCTGTGTGAGTTTTATTGCTTCTTACCACTATTTATTCAGATAGTCTATCCCCAAGGCAGAAAGGAGAGATTCATTTTATTCAGTCGGTCAATATTTATGACCATGTGAGATCTGTGGGCACATGCTACCACGCGAAAAGCATATGATCACTGAATCCTTCCCTGTCCATATTAGAGTGGAGGAGATAGGATGTAATGACATAGGTGAGAAAGATGTTGAATGCATGTAGATACTGGGAAGTTGATAATATCTTCAGAAAAGGGAATTAAGAATAGATAGCTTGCGTCTTGATGCAGAGACTTCTCTTTATTTCTGTTAGGAATTCAAGAAATAAGAAATATTTCCTGCAGGAAATGAGAAAGCGAACTGAGTGTATAACTGATGAAGGTAGAGCAAGCACAGTTGCCCTGAAGCAGGGTTTGCTGAGTATTGGAGCAACTGGAAGGAGGTACTGCAGAAGAACAGATAACAGTGCAAAGATGTGCTTTCCCTGAGTGCTGTCCCCACTTTAACATGCCACTTGGTGCCCTCATTTCTCAAAGTAGCCCTATTCCATATCCAGACCTTGAGACATGTAAAGGACTGCATGCATTCCAAAACTTAGAACTCGTGCGCTCCTTTCTTCCTTGTGCATTTTCTCTGCCAAAAAAGCACAGTGTTCCCCTTGCACTTCCCACCACTCTAATTGGAAAATCCAAGGCACTGTTCTTAACACAGTCCTCTGTGGTCAAGTCCTTGTCACTCCCCAGCAAGCTCACCTCTGCCAGTCAGCTCTACTCTTCCCACATGCATCATTCCTCAGCTCAAACTAACACCTGCAACTCCAGCCAGGTACTTAGGGTATAGGAAGTGGGACTTCCCCCCCCCCCCCCATGAGGGCACACACCCTCTGCTCATCATAAGAAACTCACTTCCTTGGTGCTCTAGTCACAAAGATTAGCTCCCTCCCCTCTGAATTGCACCTTGTCACTTCCTGCTGCTATAAGGTATTTAGACCCACTCTATTTCTTTGGCCTCTCTTTTAAGTGTTTAAGAACCTTAAATTCCTAACAGTTTCAGCTTTCCCCTTTTGTCTCCATCACTCAGAATACTACAGCAAAAAGGCCACAGTCAAGGGCCTAAACCATATATATTTATTTCACACAGTTCTCAAGGATGGAAATTCCAAAAAGGGACTAGGAGACCCTGGTGGTGATGAGGACATGCTCCATTTTTTGCAGACTCCCAGGGCTTGTGCGATGGAGAGAAAAACAACCCTCTCCTTTTTCTTTCAAAGGGACTCAGTGCCAGCATAGGAGGTCCATCACAACCTAATATCTGATACCCTAACTCCCTCCAAAGTTCTTTACCTCCAATTCCCCACTTGCCTCCAACACCATACTATTATGGCATTAAAACTTCAACATACTAATTTGGGGAAGCAAAGAAAACAATTAAGAGCAGTTTTTAGCTGCAACTTAGGACTAAATGCAGAGTTAATGTGAAACAAACCTTCTTGAACCGTGATCCTCTGGGTGATGTGTCTGGCTCAGTAGAGGGGGCAGTGGAGAGCTAGACTTGTCCAAGTTTGAATCAGACTCTCATGGTTTGGCCCTGGAACAGATTTCTTGATTTGGAGGTTATAGCAGGCAAAGGTATGTTTGGTAATTGTAGCTGTTACTAAAAGGGGGACGGAGAGAGAGAGAGAGACAGAGAGAGAGAATAAAAATCCTGCCACCCAACCATCTTCTTCCCATGTTCAGACTCAATGGCTTCCCTTATTCCTTCATATCTCACCCACAGGGAAGGGGAGACAGAGCCTTATACCTAGCTCTTGACGTTGGTTGTACAGTATCTCTGTCTTGAAAAAAATGAGCTGTTTCAGTCCAGTGCACTGGAATTTCAGGACTGTTATCAAATTAGCATTTCACCCTCAGAGACAAGAGAGGGCAGGAGAGGAGAAGGGGGGCCGGAGTCAGAGAAGGGAAAGAATCCCAGGAACCTCCAGAAGTTATAGGCACGTGGCAAGTCTCCTTGGGTATGAGAAATGCAAGGGCATTCTGCCCCAGATTATTTCCATTCTGCCCCAGATTATTTCCACTTCCCAGGATTGGGATCGCTGCATACACTAAGTATTTCTCTGGAAATGTAAACGGAATCTATTTCAAGCTGAAGGATCAATAAGCAATTAAATGGTACCAGCTCATGTTTAACCATGATTTTCCAGTTTGACTCAAGTTGTATAAGTATAGCTTGCCAGAGCTGACCCACAACACTTTCTGCACCCTGTGAACCAGCATTTGTTCTATTATTTAACTCTGAGCCCTTCAGTCTGGACTGTATGGTGGGTCTGGCTTTGATAGACCCAACCAGAAAGGCAAAGTACTGAGTCTAAAACAAAGTCATGATTTCTTTCACCAAAACCAACTTATGAGTGACTATTAATGCCACTCAGCTTCACTATCCGCCCTCCTTCATTCCCTCCGAACAGTAAGTCACTTATACTTTTTGCAGCACACCATATAGGCTGGTTCCATGTTAGGCCTAAGAAATCTATACATCATCTGAACCTTTTATCTCCTGTGAGAAAACCATTCGTGATTACCTTCCCTGGTACCTCTGTTGTTGTGGTCTCTATACACTGGAACCCACCAATATCTGGGAAAGTATTTCCAAGATATATGGGGTCTACAAAACCAGAACATAGCATTGATGTTACAGTTGTTGAACTGGACCAACCCCAATATGAATATGACAACTTCTCACTGAGCCCAGCCAGCTCAGGACAGGGCAGGCTACCTACGGAGGGGTGGTAAACTGATGGCACTAGACCTGGGGAGGAGGAGAGAGAAAATAGAGTGTCAGAGTTCAGGTGAGAAGATATCAATATCCAGGGTCCAGTAGATATAGAATGATGCCAAAATGAACCTCCAGGAAAACTTTCTGAACTCTGGTTCTAGTCCTGGAGTCCAGGTGGGATACTTGGGTGCAGGAAGAACATGTAATCCAGATGGGTCCCTGGAATTGAGGAAGGCCCTAGAGCCAAGCAGAGCCCTGGAGATGAGATGGTGTCCTAGGGTGGTGAGGTAACCATGTTCTCATGGTGCAGCCTGGGTGTAGTGCTCTGAGCCCAGGATCATTGTACCCCACTGTTTAGAGTGATGGTATCTCTGCAATAAGAATTAACAATCATCTCTCTGTTGGACATCTATATTAAAGCACTTTAGTTACAAAGAGGTTCACCTTTTGGGGGGGCTGGTGGTCAAAGGAACACCTTCCAAGTGGTATTCAGGATGCCTGGGAGCCCCTCTCAATGACTCTCGCTAACCTGTCTGACAGTTCAGTGATTGGGTCCAAGAATGTGGCAGTTCTTTGACCCTACAGTAATAAAAATCCCCCAAGTCATCCTCGCCACGATCAGGGGCCTCTGGGGCACAGTAGAGTACTTGGTGGCCTCCATGTCTGCAGTTAGTGTAGCTCAGAGGACCATGTAATGCCATGATCATATTTTGGTCAGGTGCATGCAAGGCAATCACCTTAACTATTTATTTATTTACTTATCTAATTTACACCCAATGGGCTCAAGGATTACTCCTATACTCAGGGATCTATATGCAAAGATGTCTCTGGCAATGCCTGGGGAAGCATATGTGGTGCCAGGGATTGAACAGGCATTGGCTAAACGCGAGGTTAGTACCCTAACCACTGTACTATCTCTCCAGCTTCCAAAGACTATCATTAAAGTAGTTTGCAGCACAATATGAGTAGTTATCAGGTACTCCTATTGTTTCAAGTGGAACCCAAGATCTTATTATACCATTGTACCAGATTCTGCAGATTTGCTCTTCTACTCAGGGTCCAGGTAAAACCTGCATTCTTAGATCTAGAATCCTCAACCAGTGGACCTCAGTCTGTACTGCTCAGTGAAATGAGTCATGGGAATAAAGTTCCAGAAGGATCTGGTAAACTATGTGAGTGCCTAAGGATAAAACATCAGCTATAGGAGAACAAGAGCTTTCCCAAGAGACAATCAGAGAGGCTGGAGGTTTTGTGAATGGAGTGGCCATAGAAGAAACTGGAATGATCTTTTACAGGTCAACAGTCAGTGAAGTGCAGTGGGCCAAGTCTAGGCTAGAGAGAAAGGAGAGATATGAGTGGGGGAGGCCATGGTTGAATCAGGGTTGAATTTGTCCAAGCATTCCTCGTTGTCATAATTTTGACTATTTCCCAATTTTGACTGGTAATTTCCACCCTCTAACTTGACTTCCACCATCCCAGCAAACCCAGGGAATCCACAATGGCTGGCTATAAGTACTAGTCTCTGTTTTCTACAGATTCCTGCCTGAGCTGGGCATCACTGAACCCATCCTAATGGCTTTTTCAACTTCATACTGAATTATGTGGGCTAGAGCAATAGCACAGCGGTAGGGCATTTGCCTTGCACATGGCCGACCTGGCCGAGTCAGGTTTGATTCCTCTGCCCCTCTTGAAGAGCCCGGCAAGCTACTGAGAGTATCTTGCCTGCACGGCAAAGCCTGGCAAGCTACCCATGATGTATTTGATATGCCAAACACAGTAACAACGAGTCTCACAATGGAGACATTACTGGACCCACTTGAGCAAATCAAAGAACAGCGGGAAGACACTGACAGTGACGATGAATGAATTTCACTTGATCACTTGACTTCCCATTAATCGTCGATTTGCTCGAGCAGGCGCCAGTAACGTCTCCATTTGTCCCTGTTGCATGCTAGTGTTCATTCTAGGAACACAAACAGACTCAAACAGATCGTTCATGATCTTGATGAAGAGGTCTGACCATCTGGTAGGTGGGCGGCCACGCGGTCATTTGTCATCCTGTGGAATCCAGTCGGTAACGGCTCTAGTCCAGTGGTCATCTCTAAATCTCATTACGTGACCAGCCCACCTGATTTTTGACACCTTGGCAAACGAGACAGCGTCCCTGATTCTTGATCATTGACAGAGGTCAAAATCTGGAT